ATGATGGACAGACGGTGGCTATCTACCTTTCAATGTAGTTGTATATACTGATGATGGTATTTTTTCAGTTAAGCAATAAATAATTGAAACAAGGTTTTAATCTCAAACTAATGTTACTCTTTTGCCAATTTTTAATTTTTTTTTCTTTAAAATGTCTAGCACAAATAGCTGAATTTTTACTGGGGGTTAACTTTCGATTGATAAGTTAACATAACTTTTGATTGATAAATACTATCCATTGTTCAAATAAGGATTATTTTCTGGAAATCCAAAAATTGGTTGCTTTTCAGGAATAAAATCAAGTTGATTCTCTCTCTTTTTATACCCAGTTTTACAGTAAACTACAGCAAATGTGTTAACCATATTATCAATATTTAAATAAACAATTTTATAAAAATTTAAGAAAGTCCGAAAATTACCCTTTTAATTTTTCGCTCCAAAAAGCAAGTTATCCAGTCATGTAAATATAATAGGCCATGGTTAAAAAGTACACTTTAATAGAATTTTAATAAATATGGTTTTATTTTATGTTTGCATATTTAACTCCCATAATATAATAGCATAAAAATTTTATAATCACCCTAGAATTTTTTTATTTCAATAAAAAAATTCTAGGGGGATTATATTAAGGTGACATTAAAATAATTTTTTTAATGTCACCTTAACAATTTTGCCACTGTAATTCAATTGTTCTTTTCATAACTAACATAACATAAATTAAATTTATGTTTAAAAAATTATAATTAATGCAAAACAATTACTTTTTTTAACCTGATTTATTTTATTTCACCTAATTACTGTAACACCACCTCTTGCTACACTCACTAAATTTATGAAAATTATTTAAAAAATTTACTTTTAAACCTAATTTATGTTCAATAATATACTCCATTATTTCCCTACAAGATTTATATTGATTTCAATATTTTTTAGATTTTTAATTCCATTTTACTGGACTCCCTGATCAGTTTATATTTTAATGAAAGGTGCTAAATGAAGGACGTTTCATTAATCAGTCTGTACTCAATGAAAGGTGCTAAATAAAGGATGTTTCATTTTAAAAAATATCTATCATCATAAAAAGTAAAAAAAAGAACAACTCACATTGCTTGCCTTGATCAACAGTATTTATTGAATCTGAAAACATACCCTGCACACAAAATATATAAGGTAATGATGAAACTATGTTTAAAAAAAGAGGTAATTTCAAAATAAAAATAAAATTTGTTTAATTAAGCGCATTCTTAAATATCCTAATGTAAATTCAAAGAGACTATTTTATACATCTCAATTAGTTAGAATTTGTTAAATATGAAAACTCTGCATACAAAATATATAAAGTTATGATCAGATAGCTTTAAACATCTTAGTTAGAACTTATCAAACTATGATGTTACTACTTTATACATCTCAGTTATTCAAAATATATTGAATCTAAAAACATACCCTGCACACAAAATATATCCAGCTATGATGAAATAATGTTGAATAAAACACAGTTTTAAATATCTCAATGTGAATTCAATAAGACTACTATATACATTTCTAACTTAACTCAATTTCTGCTTCAGTCTAAAATTTATTCTACAAAGGATGTAAAATTGACCTAACTAAATAAGTACAGCGCAGAACAACAAGAAATAAAAATGGAATAGGAGGAAAAACTTCTGATAAATAAATTGACAAAACTAGAAGAGACATTATTAGCCCAACATGATTCAATTTTTTAATTTTGACAAATGTATCAATTAAATCAATTCCCATCATCCTAATGATAAAGTGTGCAAAATACCTCAAGGATGCAAAAAAAAATCAAACATTATTGTAAAGAGGTAAATCAACCACGGCAAGATTTAACTACATTATCCAATAAACAATTAGGTCATGGAACAAACTACATCAAAAAACTGAATTGATGGCTGTTAAAGCCATTAATTCAGATTTTTGATGTAGTTTGTTCCATGTTTGTTCCACAAACATAAATACTTTAGGTTCTGGTATACACTCATCAAAATTTCTATAGTTCCATGTAGTTATTGCAGATTTTATGCGGAATGCATTTATAAAATTAACCCCAAAAATTTTCTTAATTAGACCTATTGCAGACAAATGCATTTATGAAAATTTTATGTGTTTCTAAAACAAATGAAACTAAATTTTTAAGAATGTCTTTGAAATTGGTATTTATACTGGCAAAATCTCTGTAGTTCTATTAGCTTGTTTTGAACACTTAATAAGATTTAATTGAAGTTTGAATAAGATTTTTTAAACTGTTTGTTTTATATGAAACTTTTGTGTATTTTTAATTAAGATTTCTTATTTAACTATTACAATGCCAAGCGCAAAGGTGTTAAATGAGGACGAAAATGCAAAAATTGTTGCTTACAAAGGTATGGGTTTGTCTAATCATCAAATTGCAAAGAAAATCAAAAGGTCTCATCATGCAGTGAACAATTTTATAAACTTAGGTAAAAATTACAACAAAAATCACTTTAAGGGCAGAACTGAAAAAACAACAAAAAGGCAACATTCTTCCATTTTGCATTTGGCACCATCTGGAATATGAACAGCAAGTCAAATAAAGACTGAACTTGAATAACCTGTGACTACAAGACATGTCAAACGAATTTTGTTAAAATTAGGACAATTGGAAAATAATAATCACAAAACAAAAAAACAAAAAAGTGCAAGATTTAAGTTTGCAAAGGGATGACATGACATGGGATGCAGAATGGGAAAATATTATTTTTTCCAACAAAAAAAAGTTTAATTTAGGTGAGCCTGATGGTTTTAAGTTTTATTAGCGTGATTTGAAAAAAAAGATAGCATAGCTATGCGATAAAAATTTTATGTTAGATTGACAATTTGCTGAAATCAAATTTCAAATCAAAAATCAGATACTATAATATCTATAATATATATATATATATATATATATATATATATATATATATATATATATATATATATATATATATATATATATATATATATATATATATATATATATATATATATTATAGATCAGCAATTGCTGATCTATAATATATATATATATATATATATATATTATAGATAGCAACCAATAAAAAATTTTTTTTATTGGTTGCTAGCGAATGATAAACAGGTCCCTAAAACTATAGAAAAAAAGTTTTCCAAAAATATGTTGTGTTAGGCCTCAATCAAAGCGCAATTATATAAAAATAAAAAAAATTTAATCTTATAACATGCTACTGCAAAGGGGTGCCGCTACATCAATTGAGGGTTTGGCATGGGATAGTAATTTTTTCTTAATTATTCTTCATTTTTTTCTTTAACTGAAAAAGCCATATGCTATAAAGATAAGCAAAACTAGTAAGCATATTATTATTCAAAAACGCATCTGAGAGGCTTAAGTAGATAGATTGACTGAAGGTTTGGGCAGCTATTATCTAGATATGAAGGATTATTATTACAACAAAAAAATCCTTTTTTAAGATTTTTTGTTTTTTTTTTTTTCTATATCTGAAAAAAATGTCTAGACTTATAACAGTGTTTTAAAACTTAAAATTTACAATATATATTTGGACATGCGGACCTAAATCCACAAATATGTGTATATAAATACAAACTAAGATATATATAAATAAAGCTTATTTGCATATATATGTCCATTTATTAAAACAAACAAAGCAAATTTAAATAAACTGCAATAATACTATGTGCAGTTTAACAAAAATATTGTAAATAAATTTAGAAAATTTTTAATGATGGCATTTATGACAATTACAATGCTACATAATTAAAAAAAAAAATTACTTGTATTTTTTTTTTAATAATACAAAGTTTATAAACTAAATATAGAATAAAGTTTTATTTATTTAGTTAAAATAATTCCACTTTTAAATATTATAAAAAAATAAAAAAAAAAAAGAAAACATAAAATGCTTACTCTAAAAATGTTCACAAAGTTTCATTAATAACTTTTGCACTTATATTAATTCTATGCATATAATTCATTAAATAATCATAAATAATTATATTACAATTAAAAATGTTTAGAAGAAAAAATTTATGTAATAAAGAACATGGAACCTAAAGTAGATAATATTCTTAAAAACTAATATTTTCAAAAAGAAACCTGAAAATAATTTTTCTATAAATGTTTTCTAATTGATTAATAGATGAATAAAAACTTTATTTTCTGGATGATTTATTTATTTTGTTTTTAAGGCCAATGATTCATGAAATTAAGGTCAATGATTCATAGCCTGGTTTTAACGATAACTGAAAAAACTAGTTTTTCAATTGAAGGCCTCATGTTCTCTATTACTTCTAAATATAATAAATTTACATAACATAAAAATGCATAGTTATGCATTGTTATTATAATTTGAGACAAGAATTTAAACAAAATAAGTAGATAAGTGAAAAAGAATTAATAAGGCAAAATAATATTTTTTGATATTTTCAAGTTGTATATAAAAAAACAATTTACATAAAACATCTATGACTCATCACTAGAGACATCAAAAAAATCAAAAAGTTTACTATTTGAAAATTATATTGCAAATATATATACATATATATAGCAGTTTCAAAAAATTTGCTGCACCAAGATTTTTATCAAGATATTATTAAAACTTTAAATATCAAACACATTTAAATAATTATTTTCTACATGCCTGTCAGAAAAAAATAATTTTTTTCTTATCCCAGTGCTCTCTAAATAATTTACCCAATTGTTTAAATTAGACAATACCAACATTACAATAAAGTACACAAAAAACCGCTTTTATAATTTTTCAAATTCTTTGCAAGCTAAAACAGATTTTGACAGCTATTTAAACAAAAATACAATTGATTGAAACAACTTTTAAATAATACAAAGAAATATTATTATTTAATATCTGACTTCAAGGTGATTTTTGCACATATGGTTAAAAGTTAGGAAAATATTACTTGACACTAGCTCTAACTTGACTAGATAAAACATATTACTTGAATTCAGAAGTTTATTTGGGTTTTCCAGTCTTCAGTTTGATGCAGCATACCACCTTTTGCTAAATATTTTTAAAACATATTTCAAACTAAATTTAAGAAATCAATAAATTTATGAAAAGTTTTTTTCTATCTAAAAATGAGACTTTCATACACTTTTTAGTTTTATAATTTTATACTATATTTTGTTTTGTAACTATATATATACATATATATATATATATATATATATATATATATATATATATATATATATATATATATATATATATATATATATATATGATATATATATATATATATATATATATATATATATATATATATATATATATATATATATATATATATATATATATATATATATGTATATATATATATATATATATATATATATATATATATATATATATATAAAACTTATAAAATTGATTAAAAATTTAATGTTTAATGCAATGTGCAAGTAAAACTATAAATAAAAAAAAATCTAATAAATTTTCAGTTTTTTTGATTTTTTAAATTGTAATAATTTTTAAGGTAAATTCAATTATCATTTTTTCCATGTACTTAAACATAAGTAACTGATGTATTAGTTGTTACAATTGTAGAGAATTATTTCTTCAAAAAAATCTTGGTGTACTTTCTTTTTTTTTTTTTTTTTTTTTTTTTTTTGACACTACTACATATATAATATATTAAAGATTTATAACATAACATAAATGCATTGCATTTTAATATCTTTTAACTTTTCAAAAAGATTTTCTATGAATCATCTAATCCTTCAGTTATATCGTTATCAAATAAACAAATTCTTTTAGCATCTTCAACATTTGAAATAAGGTTAATGCATTTTTTTAGTTTTGCATCCACCTTCACTTTGACAAATTCTTGCACAGTGTCTTCATAAAAAATTCCAGACAAGCATTCTTGCAAAGGACTCTTAATAGAATTATAAGTTTGAACAATTTGATTCAGAACATTTGAAATATATGCTAAATGACCAAAGTTTAATTCTTTAATACTTTCAGCATGCCACATATCAACCCAACCATCTATTCTTTCTTCAACAATAGCCAATTGGCGTTTTGCATGCTCTAATTCAACTATATAATGTATAAGTTCTGAACCAGGGAAATTTCCACAACTGAAATCGTAAATAATGTTATTAGATAGTGGAATACTATTTTCATACCCCAATTGTTTGGAAACATCTAAATGAAGTTCTTTTGAAAAGCATTTTTGTTTAAAAACTTGTAAACACAAAACTAAAGAAGGAAATGCAACAGGTAAAAGTTCACATAATGTAGCAAAATGATCATATCGAGACCAGCCTGTAAACGATATACCTCTTATTTTTGTAATAATCTTTTTGTCTAAATTTTCTAACAAGTACAACCACGACAAATGATTATTAATGTGATGTTGAATTGGTGGAATGTCACATATTGGACCTGATGAACCTTTAAAAGAACTTGCTATCCAAATTTCATCAAAAACATCACTATAGGATTGCCACATCCCATGAGGAAACTGGTCATATAAATCATCTACATAGGACCAAACCATAGGGATTACTGGGGTAAGCTGCTCTAACTCTGAAATACTAAATTCTCTAATCATATCATCCCAAATGATTAATTCAACACTTGGATGCTTTGATTTAATGAGCTTAATAAGTGGCATCATATGACTTAAATAAAGTTGTTTTTGTAATTGGTTACTTTCTAAACACTCCTTGCACATACCTATACAAAAAACTTCATCACCTCCGATATGTAGATATTCAATATCTGAGTGTTCCTCAATAAACTGATCCACAATTTCTTCTATAAGTGATAATGATTCTTTATGTGTTGGACACAATGATCCTGGGTTCATATTTGATTCTCTCAAATGTGCATACTGCTTTTTTTTTAGAATAAATTCAAGATGCCCGAAAGATTGTAGCAAAGGTATGTATTTCATTCCTTCTGCTTTTGCCAAATCCTGTATTGATCTAATATCTTCACTTGAGTATGCAATTTCTTTTGAACAAACTGAAAGATCATTTCTGTATGGAAACATATCTTCATATTCTACTAATAAACCATTTGCACCCCACTGCCTAAATAAAGGTATCATTCTAAGGAGGTAATTGATTTTTGGAGGAGACCCTTTCAAATCAAGATGGACCACTCTATTTGGAACAAACTTGCTGCTTACTGCATCATCAATATTGTCAGTTTCCATGTTCTAAAATCTTCTAAATGCAAATTTTGAGGATAAAGTGTTATTATTATTATTATTTAAAATTATTGTATCATTAAATATTTACAAATTTTATTAAAATTAATTGATGTTTCATTAGCAACAATTAATTAAACTTACAAATAATTAAGAAAGACTAGGTGTAAATTTATTTTTTAAGCAATTATTTTTTAACAAATATTATAAGTACAATTTTTTCTTTTAAAGATTTAATTACATTAAACACACCTATTAAACATATATAAAACAATTTTCTAAATGTGTAATATTTTGCTCAGAAATTTTAATTGAAATAATCAAAACATATTAAAAGTAACAATTAAAAAATGTAAATTTTGTAAGATCAAATTTTGCAAAAAATATTGATAGCTGATTTTTTTTACTTTTCTTGCTTGCTTATAACTACATTTGGTTGATGGTAATTATTTCTTTACAATTGTAACACTCATTATGAAAACTAAGTCTTTAACTGTAGTGCCCTTTTGGCTTTGAGTGAATATAGTAAAAAAAATTACTTTTATCTTGTATGCAATCTGAATTAAAAAAATTAAGTTACATCCTTGGTCCTGTGTTGTTTCTTATCTAAGTTAATGATCTTTCAGATAACCTTGCCTCTAAATTGGCTCTATTTGATGACACAAATGTATACTCCTGTTTTCATAAAAAGTCTTTATGAATTATTGATCACTTAAAAGAGGACATAATGTGGTTGATGGCAATTTTGCAATTTCAATCATTATGTGGTTGATGGCATTTTTGCAGACTTTTATAATATTTATTATATAAAAAATTTGTAATATTTATTATATAAAAAAATGTTGTTGTTCGAAACATGAGTAGTATTAGAAAAGACAACTGGAAAAACTTTTTCATAAGAACTTTTTATTAGTTATGAAAAGTTCTATACTTATATTTCTTTTCGCTACTTTAATTTTTAATTAAAAAATGTTGCTTTTTTCATTAAATTGTAGAACTAGAATAATATTTTTAATTTGAAATAACTGAGATATTCTATGTTAAATTATATTAAATTTTAAAAGCTGAGTTTTCTTTTACTTTTTTGAAGATTTGAAGCTTAAGTCAATATCACTATACCAGTTGGCACATTTTGTAGTTTTTATTAACTAGTATGGAACATCTCAACTTCAGAATTAGTTTAACATCATTTCAACAAATTACCTGGTATTAATTTTTATAATTTTTATGTTTAATCTTAACACTTGCATAACTATTATTTTTTGATTCACCTATTCCAAGGTTTTGAACCTGCAGAACTTTATGCAACAATTTATAACAAATTTCTCCTGTATTCAAAATAACTAAAATTATATTTCAATAGTTAATGTTCATTTGTTTTAAAACACTCAATTTCATTGCATAATTGTGTAAAAGTTAATGGACTGAAAAATTCACTTTTGTATCAAATGGTGTTGGACTTTCACAGTATCAAAAATGCAACAAAACTCTAACAACAAAAATAAAAAACAAAAAAAACTACTAACAAATAACTAAATATTGAAAGACATTTTGTATCTACTGCATACTAAATGTGCAAAAACCCATATGATTTCTCATATTTTTTATTAGTAACCCATATGATTTCTCATTTTTATTAGTATTTACTCTTACAATAAAGAATGGCAACATTATTACTTATTGCTCTAATTTATATCTTTTAGATTATGTTTCTCTATTGACTTCTTATGGAAACCATATATACAAGCCATTGTAAAGATAATAGCTGCTAAAGATTTTTCACTTTATTGTGCTTGTCATTTTCCTACTCCTGATTTAGTTCATTACATCTATAAATCTATTATTCATCTTTGATAGAATAATGGATGAATAAAATATTTATAGAGATATAGATTGAGGCTTTTGATGAGGCCCTCCGTAAATTCTTCATCTCTAGAGAATGTATAGAAACTAAATATATTATGAATAAATCATTATGATACAAGTTTCTTATTATATATTTGTTATAATTAAACTGTATATTATATATTTTAGTTATAATACACTTTTATAATTTGGTTATAATATACTTATACTATATAAGTATACAGTATATAAAATAAATAATATAAAATTAAATTTTAGTTATAATATACTTATTTAATTAAAATTAGAATGTAAAATATTTATAATATATATAATAAATAACGTGAAGTTTGATTAATGTAATATATAATAAATAAAATGATAAACAAATGTAACAATATTACAGAATATAATTTAAAATTATAAATTCATGAAAAACTTGTTAAAAAATTTTACAAAAAAAAATTGCCTGATATTTGAAAAGTCAGTTTTTGTTTTACCAAAAAAGGGCGGGGGAGGGCAAAAATAATCTTTATTTTTAAAATTTTTAAATTTTAAAACTTAAAATACAGTTAATAACATCAGGGGCAATTCAAGTAATAAAATAAGGGGGCATATCCTTACAAACTGCCGGTCTGTTTCTTCTTATTTTTAATTGTCTAAACTAAAAATCTGCCGACTGAAATGTGTCAAATGCGTACTAACCGACTAAGATCCCAAACTGTAACTTCTAAACTGCCATCTTGGGGAGTAGGGGAATGGGTGATAACACCCTTCTTAAAATTACCCTCAATTAACAAGGCTAATAATTGTTTGGTTTTTTGAATATCAATATTTTTAATGATTAAAACAACTAAAGCCAAACAATTATCTGTCTTGTTAACTTTCAGTTATATTGAGCAAATTTGTTTAGTTTATTATAGAGTGATTTTATTTGAATTTAAAACTATTCATTATATAAGACAAGTCTTTTTTATTATAAATTTTAACATAATAAATAACATAATATAAATAAACAAATAATAAAAGTAAAAAAAAAAATACTACTTATAACAAATATAAAATATTTTTGACAAGTTACGTTTCATCTATTAATTATTGGAATTCATTATAAAACACACGTTGTCGCCCAACCGATGTTGCAAAACTTGCCCAGAGATGAGGTTTAAACCATCGTACTTACGTTTCTGAAGGACTGCGATCTATGTAAAAGAATCTATTATAACCAGGGGCGGATCCAAACCATCTAATAAGGGAGGGTGGGTTAGGTTGGCAATTTTTATGTTTTTTGATTTATGAAAAATCCCCCTCACCTACTTTATTAGAGTTTGGTTGATCCAAACTCTAATAAAGTAAAGGGACAGGGGGGGATTTTGCAGGTTTAAATCATAAATCTAGTTTAGTTTGTTTTTTTAGAATGTTAGTCTTACACTGTTTAAATCTATGTAACTATGGAACTACGTCATATTGATATCCTAACAGTCAAATTTTTTTTGCTCTACGCAAATTTATTAAAATTTCTTATCACTTTTAAACAGCCTTTTCAAACAACATGCTTTGTTAAATATATAAATTTACAAAAAAAAAATTGACCAAAACCCCAAAATATCTAAAGGGGGCGATTTAATCTCTAACCCCCCCCCTCCCCTCCTTCTGAGGATCAACCCTTGATTATAATCATAAGCGACTGTCACATGCATGCGAAAAATACGCTGAACAAGTATGGTATAGTGCCAAGTAATCAACTTAGAATTATATAGTGCTGGGATGTTTTTACAAGCTATCAGGTAATGAGAGCTAAACTAAATTGGTAGTGAGTGCTAAATTAAACCAAATCATAGGAAAAGTCAAAAGTATTGTGGACAACAAAAAACTATTTTGCATGCTTATAGCTTGGGAATTTAATTACCCCAAAATTAAATAGTCTGACCATCTGGTCATTAGCCTGAAAAGTAACTGTTAAGAGAGCTTAAATTTTGTTGTTACCAATAACCATAATTACCTCTAACATTGCGTGACCGAATCAACTTTTCAAACTAAGGATGAAAAAAAATAAAAAAGTTATCATTTCTTGTAATAACGGACAACGGTGAAAGAGTGATAGACATGAAAATAGAACCGCTATTACGATCAACTTAAAAGGTACACTGTGATTGGAGAAGTGAGTTAAATTCCTAGAACATAAAAAATAAATTAGAAAAAAACAAAGCAATCGGCAACAACATGGTGAGTCTCTATGTACTTAAGCAGTAATTGTCAATATCTAGCAATCTTATTTGGTCTTACAATAGTCTTATTTGTGTAACCAACTTACTGGAAACAATAGAAAAGGTATTGGGCAAAAGTGTATGACTCAAGTGTAAAGCATATGAAATGTCTTGTATTTTGTTAAAATAGTTTGAGGTTTTTTTTTAACTAATTAAGCTAATGTTTTGTAGTAGAAAAAGTATCATCGTCAAGGTTAAATATACTTAAGTGGTGTGACTTAAGGATCTATTCTTGGGCCTCGTTTATTTTTAATATTGAACCGCGACATATCAGGAACACCACAATGCATATGGAAATTTTACATGAACGACAGCAAGATGCTGAAAGCAATACAAACCTTTTCAAATAAGATCAGTTTGCAAGAGGACATTAACAAATTAGTCAAATGGACAAGTATATGTTAATGGATTTGACAAAGGATAAATGAAATTTTATGCAGATTAGAAAAAAGAACCATCGGACCTTTACTATCAAATATGGCGCTAAAAAAATTCTGAAGATCAGACTTTTATTAGATTTTTATCGGATTTTTTCTGTTGTTAAGAGGCCGAAAAATTCCGTCTTCCATTCATTACGGTCTTTTAATACAATTTTTTACAACATTTTATAAGATTTATGATACAAAGAAAACCCCTAACCTAAAATTACGAACTTTAACCGTATATAAAGCCACAAACTTAATTGGCTGCATTTTTCGCGAAGATACGTATTATAGAAACTGCGTGATATAATAACCTATAGGAAAGCAGTGGCGGATTAAGACTTCTTGGATTCCCGGGACTACTTTTGTTTTTGGAGGTCTTTTTTAGCTAGAGCCTAAAAATAACTTAAAAAAAGAGCCTTTAAAATTTTTGGGGGCCCCTGAATTTGCGGGGACCGGGGCTATAACCCCT